AACACACAATAAAACTAGACAATCTGTATCTGTTTACCTCCCTTTCAGCACTCTGACACACATAGTCTGCATATTTGCATGTATAGTTGGTTTAAAAAATCATTTATCAGAGAGAAAGATCAAGGTCATGACTCCTCTTCACACTCGGTTCCCTAAAACCAATTAAAGTGTCGGTCGGTGAAGTTCAGCTGGAGGACACACACACACACACACACACACACACACACACACACACACACACACACACAGCAGAAACAATAGCAGATGACAGCTTCTCTTCGCTATCTTAGCTGGGTTTTTCTTGCAGCAGTAATTATTTTGCAGATTCTGTCATGAGCCCTAGAAAGTTAAACTGCAATCAGATTTAAATACTCAGTTTTCTGGTGTCTGAATCAATTAGACTTTAAAGAGCTGAAGTTATACAAGAACTCCACTCTGAATGGTGATGAGATCTGTTTGAAAACATCTTTTCCAAATGTAGTCATTTGCATTGGTTCAGGCAGGCAGCGGTGTGCTAGAGTTGATTATGCACATGAGAGTCCCGTGCTTACAGCTCCTTTCACAGTTTAACATGAAATATATTATCTTTGTAGTTCATGGATAAATGTTGATATAAAAAATGTTGATGTTTTTTTGTTTACATTTGGTGATTTGTTTTACATTTAATCCAAGATGCATCTTCTACCTGTTGTGTAAATCGTTGCTCAAACCAACAGACATTCTGAATCTGTTGCTGCTTCACCCACAAATGCCGGTTGTGCAGAAGAAGTTGGAAAACTTGAGGTCTGATAGGTGTAAATCTTCTTTTTGCAGAATGTTCCAGACTAATTAGAATAACACAATTAAACTTAAGCAGTTTGCACCTTTCATGATGATTCAGATCAAGGAAAGTTTGTGATCAATCTATTGAAAAAAGTAAAGCTTCCAGAATAATTTTTCAGGTTCTAGTTTATAAACTATAAAATGGGATTGGATTCGATAATTTCTTTGTTATAACAAGACTCCTTGATAATAAATATTTTGCTATTGAAATTAATTGTTATTTCCTCCTGAATGAAGCCACGTCTGTAAGAAAATGCCTTTGTGGGTTGAGCTGATTAGTGGATAGCTCCAATGAAAAACTCAGCAAAAAGGTTTTAAAAATGAAGAAAAAACAAACATGATATTTTCACGACCTCATGAGAGGTTTTCCCTTGTCGACTGACCATTGTGTGTTTAAGGGAGAAAAGCAAAGACACTGTTCAATACAAGCAATAACTAGAATATCCTCTTTCTAGGCAAAAAAAATAAGTTAATAAATTTAAAAAAGAGGCGGGGCTGGGTGAGCAGACTTATTATTTTTCTGGCTTTTACCAGCTGGGGCATTGCACTGGGACAGTGGGTGTACCAGTGCATGGACAGGCATGTTAATGTGTGTGTGTCTTTTACGTGTATGTGTGCTGGCACTGATCTGCGCGTCCAGCCACATTTGCATCTGTGTGTGCACAGCCATGTGCATATATTATGGGTGGCACACTGGACCAGAACAGAGCTCTGACAGTAGCAGGGCTGCTGCTCATTGATGCCTGCCAGGAGGAGCTGACAGCAGCCTAGTCTGTCAATCACTGAGCACGCCGCTAGCTCCCTGTTCACATTAAACTATCTTGTTAACTCTAAATCTGTTTATACCCTTTTCATCTGAGTGTGATTTCAGCCTTTTTTCTCTCATGTGATGCAGTGTTTGCTGTGGGGGACAGTTTCAGTGGAGACCAAACAAGACAGATGTGAAAAGCTGGTATGGAAATGCTAAAGCCCCATTCCCACCTGTACCGGGTCGGCCCGGGCCGGGTAGCATAGGTTGTTTACATATCTGGGTGGCCTGGAATTTTCCCGGGCCAACCAAGGCTCATTCTCGGCCCTCTTCCCGAGGGGTACTGCTTCAGGCCGACCAGGGCCAACACACCCACTGCTGACAGCAAATTCACACCTTCCATTAGAGCAAGCCTCTGATTGGTGGGTAGAATCAGCCCATTCACACCTTCCATTAGAGCAAGCCTCTGATTGGTGGGTAGAATCAGCCCACATGGGCTTAAGGCAAGGATGTGTGGAATCAACCGGGCCAGGCTGGGGCCGACTGGGGCTACCCGGCCCGGGCCGACCCGGTACAGGTGGGAATGGGGCTTAAGAAACACGTGGTGCTGAACGAGGGATCTGTTCTTGCCAAAACAGGCCAAGCAGCAGTAGAAATAATGAATCCATGTCAAAGGGAAGTTATTCAATGGGAACAACTCAATGAAAAGTGAAATAACTTGGTTGCTTGTAATTCACAGACAAAATTTGGCTGATGTAGTTTACAGTTGTAACGTCCAGCAATGGTCAGTTTTTAGGTACAGTTTGACCCTTCAACATCTGGTCAAAATGGAGACACGAGACTGCACGTGTTCCCTTTATTCTGTCTGTCTTCATCCCATCAGCTGAAGCTCAGAGCCTCTCTGCAGCTCTGAACACACGATAACGTATTGCCAACAATGATGTTCTCTCCTCAAGGCTCAAGGCCTCGCTTATCGCCCTGCAGGATTCTTCGTGCCTCTGAATAAGTGAACACTCGCAGCTCGGATTAGTCGCTAAATCAAAGAATGATTTCTTAAATTAAATATGAACTTTTAAACTTGTAAGTTAAATAATCATTAAATAAACATTTGTTTATTGCTACTTATAATATTTTTATAACATAATGAAATGTTTTCATTAATCTGTGCTTGAGTGATTGAAGTTTGAAATGAATGTTATGTTATGATTACAGTGATTGATATATGTTTCAGCATGTTAATATGACAAAGTCATCACCATTTGCACTCACACAAGGACAAAGTAAGGTTAAGTTAAACTCATGACACATAGATAGTCCTTTACCCCAGATCAGAGCATCCAGATCCAAGAAGGCGTGTTTCTGAGTTGTCTTGCTAACATTCCTCAACTTGTCAACCTCTGGTTGGCTACACAAATCATAACATGAGAACATTAAAACTGGATCTCTCTGGTGATTCATCAGTTCTTGAGAAAAGCTTCAGACCGGCCATCTGAAGCAACACCTCTCTAACCCATTAAAGCTTTTGACACGTCGTCAAAATCTTTTTGCACCTGCGAAGCTGATACAGCAAACGGTTCCTGCAGAACAAGATGATATTGTTCAGACTCCTTCAGAGTCTGCCAGACGTGCAGTTCCATCCATCTGTCATGACCCGAGACATCTCTGGACTGAAATGTCGGTGCTAGAGTATTCTACAGCCCTTGGTGCCAGAGGTCATCTGACCTCTCTGACCTTTGGATCCATGAAGAGGGTCTCCGAGAAGGGGTGAAGTAGACACACAGATTGCGTCTGATGTGTTTTGATAATAATCAACATCTTAGCTTAACACAAAACAAATTCTTTACACCCAGAACCCAGCTCTCCTAGGTATGGAAGTTCTGATAACATCACATTCACACATAGGCACCATACACTACACCTGCTTCATCTAGATCCATCCACTCAGAGTAAATGCTAGTTAACCTGTTATGTTTTAATTGTTTGTAAAATAAATTCTTACTTTTATAAACCTGACTTTTTTCTGAATCAAAACGAAGTGTGTACAATCCCTGAATAAAACAAAGAATACTAGAATCTTCTGATTAAACACGGTAAAGACCAAGTAGGTTGATATTCTATATTTATATAGAGTATCACTACTTATTGGTCATTAGTAGAGGTAATATATATATTGAGCTCTTAAAGCACTCAATTTCTCAAACCCTACACAGTGAATGTGTTTTCATCTCTAAGAATATCCAAGCAGCTCCAAAGTTGATGCCATGCGAGAGTTTTTACTGAAAGGTAATAATCTTCTGTCACTCACAATCGATGCCTGCTAATAAGAGCTGGACTCATTGGTTTTATGCTGTTGTGTGGAAAGGCTGGGTCATTTTGGTTTTAGTGCATAGCAGAAACAGAATGGCTTGACAATGTAAATACAATGCTGGATGTGAAGCTGAATGATCCGTGTGAGTCTTAGTTATCAAGGAGTTGAAATCTGCATGTTTGAGTGGGGAATAAATGCATTCTTAGAATAAGTTCAGCATTCAGTTCAAATACCGGTAATTAGGTCTAGCACATTTTAACAGACACGCAATTAATCCCAAAATTTGCCAAACATAATTATGCAAAATGTTGGTCTTACACCATCTTTTAACTGCAATTCAAACTTAAATTAGTCGTACGCCTTTTATAAATTATAACCTGGTATTGTATTTGTTCTATGTCATCATCATTGAATGTGTGTAGGGTCTATGAACAGTCCTGTACTTTTGTTGATATATTGTTCAACTAAAGTTTATTTCAGCTAGTTAACAATAACAAGGAAATAAAATAATCTAAACACTGAACTGTGTATTTTGGTTAACATGACCATTATTGTGTTTAGATTCACTTGTTGAAAATAAAAATAAATAAACTGGGTTAAAAATAGTAAATATATATTTTTTGTTAAGTTACAGTCATTGATTGTATAATATACACACACGTAGGTTGCATTTCAAGTAGTTAAAAAATGTACTTCCTGTTTCTGATTTCAATGAAATACTATTCCCATAATGCTTTGCGTTTAGAGAACAACGAGCACACGCGATAAACGTGTGGCCTTTAAGGGAGCTACGGTACGTAACTTGGAAACAGTAGACGTTTTTATTGTATATTATTTGACTTTTTACTCAGTTTCAAATGAGATACATAGCTTATGTTTCTAAGAGTTCCTCTAAATAATATTTAAACTTATCCGTGTAATTGTAATTGATGGTGATTAGTTTCAACAGTATTACAAAGGAGAACAAGCAGTAACACTGAAATGACCGCTTTCGTTATCCCCTTTAGAGTCAAGGTTAGTCATATGGTGCTATCTTTTGCTTCATTATTCATGCTGAAATCGGATTTAAAATCGAATGACATGATTTGTGTTTGGTTGATTATGTTTATCAAACGTTTGACAATGTCCGATTGCTTCTGAAGGCAACACGAAATAAACGACTGACTGGAAGGCATTATTTGCGGTCAGAAATACCCTGATCAAGCCTCATGATAGAGGAAGATCGCTTCTCATGAATGGATATATCGACCTGCCTTTAACGTAATTTTTATTTATATGCCGTCGCTTAAATTTGGTGTTTTATAGCTAACTAGTGGTAACTAACAGTTCATGCTTTGACAGCCTAGCTAGGCTAGCTAGCATAACATTAGCTCACACACTTAAACAGCTGATATCTGTGGGAGACCCTCTGCCATCTGACTAGTTTATTTAACTATTAGCTGTTTTAGTGTTTGTTCTTCACTTGGATAAAGTAACAAAACCTAACTGCCCTCAGAAAATAACATCACCTTAACTATATTGAATCACAATTTTCGTACTAACCTTTTTTTTTACTCCAATCACACTCCTGTGTGATTCTTATCTATGTGTGTGTGTGTGTAAGGTCACCAGTTAAAATTTAACTAATGTTGTTAAACAGTTATAAAACATCACCAGCTTTAGTAAGTAGTAATTGTCTAGTGTTTGGTTTATTATTTTATTGAAAAAGCTTCCCCCCTTATTGTTAAACTACAGGTTATGACGAGTAGAATCAGTCAGGTTTGTCTCGAGTTTATTCAAAACCCTGCGGAATACAAGTTAGCTTTAAGGTCAATTGTGGCATTTACAAAATATATGTATATATTATAGATGGGAACACACTTAAAATCTCGTGTTGAGGGGGTGTCAAAGGTAAATGCATTTAGTTCTCACCCCTTTTTGGGTTGGATTCATCACACAAACCGCTGCAAGCTTTTGCTCATTTGGGCTTTTGAGTCTAGTTTATTTTACAGAAATAAATAAAATAGTTTTATTCATTTTGCAGAACAGACCACTTCTACTAAAATTGCCAACCTAACTACTTGATTTCTATTCTACTGAATTTTTCTGAGTTACATTATCAAATCTTAGACATCCGTTTTCTTTTCTGATCTGCAGTTTAGATTCCACAAAAGTAAAAACATCGGTGACACTCGTAATCATTTTAAAAGCGTTTAATGAGAATACAGATTTTTCAAATGTAAAATTACGGGTTTAATGTGGAACTAGGAAATGACTTTTTCTGTACTACCGGTGGTAATGGTCTTTTTGTACTAAATAGAATGTACTAGTCCCATGTTGTTCAGAAGAGTTTCTTAATAGAAGCAGTTTGAGAGTTCCTTTTAATGGGAGTTTTTTTTTTGCATGAAATCACATAAATGCTTAGCTAAATAAGTAATACAGCTCTGGCAAAACATCATGCTTTTGACACTAAAGTTTTATAAACTCTACTCATTTTTGCATCTGGATTTAATAAAAGTTTGACTGACAGAACATTCTGAACAAATTTTGCTACAGATGTAAATTTAAACTTAAAATGTGCAAAGCCTCCATTTCTGCTAAAAACAATATTGCCTGACATTGTATTTCTTTTTTTTTTTTAACTTATTTTCAGAGTTTTATGACCTGGTTTATCTCAGGGCCAAGCAGGTTTTGTGTTCTCTCAGACTTGATGTTTTGCTCTTCTCACTTTTGTTTGTCTCTGCCTAACCCACAGGTCATGCATGCAGCCAGGCTACTAACCAACCCAGAGACGATGTGCTAGTTGGAGGCTCTTCCTCCGTCTAAGCTCAGCTTCTCCCGTCTGCCCCCATGTTAACCCTCTTGAGCATGTTTTACTATATCTGTCTGCGGCGGCGCTCCAGGAGCGGGACTCGAGGCGAGGCTCTGACCAGTCGGCGCGCCGTGGAATCCGGTCAGCGGGCGGTGCTACCAGTAAGTGTGGAGGTGAAGCAGTACGCCAAGGAGGTCCTGGACTTCAGCTCCCACTATGGTAGTGAGAATAGCATGTCCTACACCATGTGGAACCTGGCTGGGGTGCCCAACGTGTACCCCAGCTCAGGGGACTTCACCCAGACAGCTGTATTCAGAGCTTATGGAACCTGGTGGGAGCAGTGTGCCAGTGCCCCACTACCTTTCCGACGTACCCCAAAAGATTTTTACAGCCAGGATTATGTTGAGCTGGGCTTTGAGGAACCGGTCTACCCAACAGCCGTGGAGGTGTTTGAGACTTACTACCCTGGAGCCATTGTCCAGATCATGGCCTGCTCGCACAACCCATTATCACAGAACCCACCCACCGATGTTAGGTAACAAACACATTGATGCTTCTTTTGTCAGCGCACTATATATACATACATACATACATACATATATATATATATATATATATATATATATATATATATATATGTATATATATATACATATATACATATATACATATATATATATATGTATATATATGTATATATATATATATATATATATGTATATATATATACATATATACATATATACATATATATATATATATATATATATATATATATATATATATATATATATATATATAATAGTACACCCCGCTACATTTGTCAGAAAACCTTTAGTTTCCTTTCAGAATAAACATTTTCTATAAGGCACCATACTACAAAACACTCCACAAATATGGCCCATTGATTACAAACAAGGTTTGTTTATTTTCACACACAAAAAAAGTGATTTTCCTAAGAAGTCTATTCAAGCCCATGTTGCAAAAATGAGTACACCCCAATTATAGTCTTAGGAGAAAAGCCACACTTAAGACTACAACTTCTAATAAACAGGTATCAAACCACAGGCGAGTCTAGTGATTCATCTAAGAGGTGTCCAGCAGACAGGTGACTATAAACGGGCATTACTTAAAGAAAAGCCCTTCCCATTTCATGCTGTCAGCAATGGCTGCACATGGAAGAGAAATGTCAGAAAATCAGAGAAAGAAAATAATTTCTTTACACCAAAATGGTCAAGGCTACAAGAAGATCAGCAAAGCTTTACATATCAGTCACAATACTTTAGCAAAGGTCATCCAAACATTTAACCTTCGGGCCAGAACATCGGGACAAGCAAGTAAGAACGATGAAAGTGCGACTATCTTACAGAGACGTCCAGACCGTCCACAGAAGTTAACATCTCGACAAGGGTGTCTTCTGATGAGAAGGGTTGAAGAGAATCGTCATGCAAGTTTGCTGCAGTTAGCTAAAGCAGTAGAAAGCCAAACTGGAGTGACCATTTCCCGTGACACCATCTGGCGCACACTGCAGAGGACTGGCATGAGAAGATGCTGTCATCACTACGTGCACTTGGTCGTTTTGCACTTTTCCAACACGACACTGATCCAAAACATCTAAAGCTACTTTTGCATTTCTGAAGGAGAACAGGGGGAAGGTTACTGAATGTCCAAGTCTGTCTCCTGATCTGAACCCAATCCAACACCTGTGGGGAATTCTGAAGCAGCAAGTTGAGCATCACACTCCGTCCAGCTTCCAGGCTCTAAAACAGGTTATTCTTGAAGATTGGAAAAAGATAGATGTTGCAATATGTCGCCAACTTGTCCATTCCATGCTTAAAAGACTCGGTGATGTTTTTAAAAATCATGGTGGTCATACAAAATACTAGATGTAGTAGTTTTTATTGTGGGGTGTATTCATTTATACTTCAACCAATTTTAGTAAAACTGAAGATTTAGTGATCTAAGTTATATTATTAACCTTAGCTTCATGTTATGGAGTTAAACAAGTGTTCAATAAAACCCAGCCTTGGGAAACTTCTGGAAATTGCCCTTTTGTTCATTGAGCTGCTGATTCAATTTGTACATTTTAAGGAGGGTGTACTCATTTATGATGATCAGTGTGTGTATGTATGTATATATACGGTCCTTCTCAAAAAATTAGCATATTGTGATAAAGCTCTTTATTGTCTGTAATGTACTGATAAACATTAGACTTTCATATACATTAGATTCATTACACACAACTGAAGTAGTTCAAGCATTTTATTGTTTCTAATATTGATGATTTTGGCATGCAGCTCATGAAAACCCAAAATTCCTTTTTCAAAAAATTAGCATATCATGAAAAGGTTCTCTAAACGAGCTATTAACCTAATCATCTGAATCAACTAATTAACTCTAAACACCTGCAAAAGATTCCTGAGGCTTTTAAAAACTCCCAGCCTGGTTCATTACTCAATACTGCAATCATGGGTAAGACTGCCGACCTGACTGCTGTCTAGAAGGCCATCATTGACACCCTCAAGCAAGAGGGTAAGACACAGAAAGAAATTTCTGAACGAATAGGCTGTTCCCAGAGTGCTGTATCAAGGCACCTCAGTGGGAAGTCTGTGGGATGGAAAAAGTGTTGCAGAAAACGCTGCACAACGAGAAGAGGTGACCGGACCCTGAAGAAGATTGTGGAGAAGGACCGGTTCCAGACCTTGGGGGACCTGCGGAAGCAGTGGACTGAGTCTGGAGTAGAAACATCCAGAGCCACCGTGAACAGGCATGTGCAGAAAATGGGCCACAGGTGCCGAATTCCCCAGGTCAAGCCACTTTTGAACCAGAAACAGCGGCAGAAGCGCCTGACCTGGGCTAGAGAGAAGCAGCAGTGGACTGTTGCTCAGTGGTCCAAAGTACCTTTTTTTGGATGAAAGCAAATTTTGCATGTCATCCAGAAATCAAGGTGCCAGAGTCTGGAGGAAGACTGGGCAGAGGGAAATGCCAAAATGCCTGAAGTCCAGTGTCAAGTACCCACAGTCAGTGATGGTCTGGGGTGCCATGTCAGCTGCTGGTGTTGGTCCACTGTGTTTTATCAAGGGCAGGGTCAATGCAGCTAGCTATCAGGAGATTTTGGAGCACTGCATGCTTCCATCTGCTGAAAAGCTTTATGGAGATGAAGATTTCATTTTTCAGCACGACCTGGCACCTGCTCACAGTGCCAAAACCACTGGTAAATGGTTTACTGACCATGGTATTACTGTGCTCAATTGGCCTGCCAACTCTCCTGACCAGAACCCCATAGAGAATCTGTGGGATATTGATGAGCTTAAGGCCGCTATCGAAGCATCCTGGGCCTCCATAACACCTCAGCAGTGCCGCAGGCTGATTGCCTCCATGCCACGCCACATTGAAGCAGTCATTTCTGCAAAAGGATTCCAGACCAAGTATTGAGTGCATAACTGAGCATAATTATTTGAAGGTAGACTTTTTTTTTTGTATTAAAAACACTTTTCTTTTATTGGTCAGATGAAATACACAAATGTTTTGAGATAGGAATTTTGGGTTTTCTTGAGCTGTGTGCCAAAATCATCAATATTAGAAACAATAAAAGGCTTGAACTACTTCAGTTGTGTGTAATGAATCTAAAATATATGAAAGTCTAATGTTTGTTTATCTATCTATCTATCTATCTATCTATCTATCTATCTATCTATCTATCTATCTATCTATCTATCTATCTATCTATCTATCTATCTATCTATCTATCTATCTATCTATCTATCTATCTATCTATCTATCTATCTATCATCTGTCTATCTATCTATCATCTGTCTGTCTGTCTGTCTGTCCTCTCTCTCTCTCTCTCTCTCTCCCTCTCTATATATATATATATATATATATATATATATATATATATATATACATATATATATATATATATATATATATATATATATATATATATATATATATATATATACATATATGTGTTTGTGTATGTGTGTGTTTTCGTCTGTATAGCTGCAAACTGCTCTGCTGTGCAGACTTGAATGAATCGTCTGTTTTTCAGATGGGAGGTGTTGTGGTCAGGGGAGCCCACCAAGGCACTGACTCCCCAGGCTCGCCAGTTTTCCCCCAAAATCAAACATATCAACTTCCCCACCAATCTGCTGCGACTAGAGGTCAACAGCTCCCTGCAGGATTACTTCACCGAGCTGGATGCCGTCATCCTGCGGGGAGTAAAAGAGCGGCCCATGCTGGCGCTTTATAAAATGCCCCTCATCGACATCAGCGATCCGAGTGACAGTGAGGAGGAGCTGTCTGAGATCGGAGGCTCTTTCAGGCAGGAAGGAGACAGCAAGCACCACAGAGCAGGCAATGGCTACTTTGACAAACTGCCTTATGAGGTGAATATAAAAGTGATGCACCACATCCTCATAATGAACCATCTCATTTTAACACACATAAAGTCTTCGGATTTTTTCTGAATCTTTGACATTTTCAGCATAATGTGTGCCTGGTAGGTGTGATTGTGGCCCCTGTTTTTACCTGTAACGCTGCTTGGCTTCATCCTGATCTCCTAATGGACACAGAGTTGTTTTAGGTATCGTGTCTTCTGAGGCGAGCCTCACTAACACCAGCGGTGCTCCATGTATTTGTTCTCTCTTCTCCCCTCCAAACCGCTGCCATTATTAGCGGTCCTCACAACCGCCACGTGTTTGTTTCAGAACCACAATCTAGCTATTATCTGTCAGCTGATACTCGTTTGAACAGAGCACATTGTTGATTCACTCTCTCACATGAGAGTCGTTCTTTCTCTTTGAGAGGTGCAGGAATGCAGCTTAAACCAAGTTCTCCCCCCGTGGCCTTGTCCTGCTCTGTGAGGATGCTCTGAGCTGAAGATCATCACTGGTGCTGAGGACAAAATATTCTTCTTTCCTGTTTGACCTCACTCAGCCTGCCTTTGGTTCCCTTTCTCTGTATTTCTCTATAAAATGCTTTACTTTTGCTGTCACACTAAACATGTTTTGTCTTTACCCTTACTGCCCCCCTCCTCTTTTCTCCTTCTCCTCTCCTGACCCCTCTCCCCATCTTCCGTCCGCAGCTCATCCAGCTGATCCTGAGCCACCTGACCCTGCCAGACCTCTGCTGTCTGGCCCAGACCTGCAAGCTGCTGCACCAGCACTGCTGTGATCCACTGCAGTACACCCAGCTGAGTCTGCAGCCCTACTGGGCTCGGCTGAGTGACGCCTCTCTGGGACACCTGCAGAGCCGCTGCACTCTCCTCCAGAGGCTCAACCTGTCCTGGACCGGTAACCGTGGAGCCCTCACCCTGACAGGCTTCAGCAGGTCAGACTATCAGCAGACTGCAAGTTCTGGAAAACAGCAGAATGACCTTAGAAAAGGAGAAAACCTGAGTTCAAACTGTTTTCAAGTTGGATCCCTCTTGAAGATAAAAACATTAAAATTGAATTAATAACAGAAGTGAAATGAGAACTTTGGCCTAAGAATGAAAAGCTAGAATGTTATAAATGTTGAGTCAGTTCCCTTGGTGTTTTGTCTCTTACTTCTTTTTTCTTCATCTCCCACCTCAGTTTTATGAGGGCTTGTGGTTCTAGCCTGGTCTGCCTGGAGATGTCATGCTGTCACTTCCTGAATGAAGGCTGTCTAGAGGTCATCTCCCAGACTTGTCCTACATTAAAGGAGCTCAATCTGTCCTCCTGCGACCGCCTCCCCTCACAGGCCTTCACACACATCTCCAAACTCACTCTCCTCCGCAGACTCGTGCTCTACCGGACCAAGATAGAGGTGGGTGTGGTCAGCTGTCAGTGCTGTGGACTAGAATCTGCTCCATCTAAATATGAAGCTGGGTTACTGCTCCTCGATTAATGATAAACTCGGTTGCTCTGATGGTACATTTGTGTAGAGTTATTGACTGGGAGTAAAACTCTGCCATGAAAGTTCAGAAATTTAGATAGTTTGATTTATAGTCACTCCTGCAGTTTGGGGGCTATTGCCCCGAGTGCCCCGATGACCACGGGCACCAACGTCTTCACTCTCCAGGCTATCTCAAGTTCTTCTTTGAGGCTCTGGTACTTCTCTAGTTTCTAGTGTTCCTTTTTCCTGATGATGCCATCACTTGGTATTACCACATCAACCACAACCATAATGTCTCGTTGGTTCACCATCACCCTTTTATTCGTCTGGATCTGGAAGTCCCAGAGGAGCTTGGCTCCCTCGTTCTCAAACAGCCTTAGGGCACTTTGACCTTGGGGCTTCCAGTCCATACTCTGCACAGGTGCTTCTGTACACGATGCCAGCCACTTGGCTGTGGCGTTCCAGGTATGCTTTCCCTGCTGCATCTTACACCCTGCAGTTATCTGGTGGATTGTCTCAGGGGCCTACACCTTGGGTCTTGTCTGCTGTGGTAGATCTTGGCCTCTGCTGCTCTGATGTTCAGGGCCTGTTTCTGTGCAGCCATGATGAGTACCTCTGTGCTCTCCTTCAGACCAGCTCTTTCTAGTTATTGATAGGATTTCTTCGTATCAGCCACTTCAGTAATCTGTTGGTACATCGCATGTCGGGGTTTGTCCTGCACGGTGGTATTTCCAGCACCTCCTCCTCTGTTTGCCATTGTCTGAGACATTCACTGAACATGTCATCTGTTGGAGCCTTGTCCTTGATGTAATTATGGATCTGGATGTTTCATCCTGGATAGTGGCTCTCACTCTCACTAGTCCTCAGCCTCCTTCCTTACAGCTAGTGTACAGTCTCTGTGCTGGACTTGGGATGGAACCCTCCATGCATGGCTTGGAGCTACTCTGTCTGATATGTGTATATAAATATATATAAACACTCTAATATGTCCATTTTTGCTCTCTTAATAATTTTAACATAAACACTTTGACTCCTCGCAGCCAAGCTAGCATTTTATCATCCACTTCTTCAAGGTTTTCTAAATCTATGAGCAGTTCAGGTGCAAAGGGTTATTCTCAGCTCAGATGTTCATTTCTGAAGCTTTAAGCAGAGAAAGTGTTTTTCTCCATTTCTTTGCCTTCTCATTATCGTCTCTCCAGACATTAGATGTACCTCGACCCCTCTTTAGGTGTCTCAACATCTCATTTAGCTACATGCTGCTCTTTAGTCAATGACTTATGTGTGACTTTATCATTACCAAGCACGTACATACACAGATTCAACTTTCAGTGTCATTAAGATAAACCCTCCTGACTGATTGTTGTAGGATGTGAGCATGATGTACACCTCTACTGTCTTCATCCGAGTCCAGAAGCATTAAAGACATGATGCAGGCGTTTGGGTCTGAAACGTAAAACCGCTGTGTGATGTTCTCATGCTGCACCTCAGCGTTTTGGAGGCGTTTGTCTTGTTTCAGAGCAGCATTGAGCAGTGTAGAGTTTCTGTGGTGGAGCCAGGCAAGCATTCTGCAGGTTGTTTACGCCTGGACAGACCGTGTGAGCTGTGTGTCTCCTGAGGCTTCCTGACATCTCAGCTGTCATTACCCTGTCAGCGCTCTAATTAAATGACTAGCTCGCCAGAGAGAGGCGTTTATGAAGATGCCAGACTGAGTTCAACACACACACACACACACACACACACACACACACACACACACACACACACACATAGAGGTTTTCACTTTCATCTCTGACACTTTCTCCTGCTGCAGATGTACACGTGTTGGCAACTGTAGCGTTGGACTCCCATGTTTTCATGCTGGCTGCTGAGCTGCAGGAGAGGTTATCGTCCTCACTTTGCTTCGCTCTCTCAGGAACTGTAGAAAGGATTTGTTGTATTTTAGTAAATGCTGCTTCTTTAGTAATAATCTATGTTGTAACCGTGGTTTTACTTATTTAAATAAGGACAGATTCCTCTCCTCGCAGAAGGCAGTAACATCTCCTCCTTGGTCTGTTTACAGCAAACAGCCGTCCTGAGCATCCTGACGTTTTGTACGGAGATGAGACACCTCAACCTGGGCAGCTGTTTGAGGGTGAGCATGAACGACGGGTGGGATGAGTGTATCGTACGCACTCTGTAAGTAAATCATGGAGCTTATAGGACTGAAACCCAGGGTTCTGTTGTTTTTGTACGAAACCACAACACAGAGAAAATGTGTGAAGTCCAAACAGAGCTCAGGTTGTTTTTCACCAGGGTTTTTATTCTAACATGCTATTGAAGACATTCTCTGCTAAAATTAATTAAATAACCAATTGTACCACATTGTCATAGTTTTCCCTCTTGACCAGATCTTTGAGCCAGTTTATTGCTGTGGGAGACAGCGTTGCAGAACTGGAGTCACTTTTTGCTGCCAGGGCTGATTATTTTAGTGATTTTTTAAATGCAGTTTAGTCAGAAAGTGTCATGATTAAGTCTGATTTATTGTTACCTTTGCAGCCAGCTCCTCCCAAAGTTGGTTTGACGTTTTTCACCTTCTGACACCTGTGATGACTCGTTTAAGAGAAAACTGACCTTTTGAGCATCAGAGTGAGGCCTGAAGACTCACACAAACATATCAAGAACTCAAACTTGTTTTGTTTATCGTTTGTGACCACTGAGGCTAGTGCGCCTAGAACCAGAAGGGATCTTAAATGCACAACAGGTTGGAATGGAGAAGGGCTCTTTAAGTCTGATTTAAGACCAGTGCCAACATCTGACTAACCATAACCACCTGCACATGGGCTAGAACGTTTAAGAAGATCTCTGTCTGAACTCCACATCCACTCCATTCTACTCACAGTGTTGTTTTCTCAGTCCTAATGTTTGAGATGCCCACATGTAGCAGAAATATTCTCAAATCAGAGCTTATAAATCACTGCAACACTGGAGGAAGTTTCTGTAGGCATCTGCCATGAATCCTCCTATTGACAGAGGAAATGCTTCCTTCTTCCACTGTAGATCGACGACTACGATGTTGTGTCCAGCATGATAGCCGCTCGCTGTCGCTCAATGCGCTCCCTGGACCTGTGGCGGTGCAGAAACCTAACAGATAGAGGCCTGACCGAGCTCGTTTCTGGCTGCAGGTAGGCCTCCTACTGCGTCAGCAGCTCTGGTGAATGATGTCAGTGATTCCTGTGGTCCTCTTTTGTTTGGTCTCACAGGTGAATCTGTGTTTAAGGAGCAGGGAAGTAGAACGTAGCTGTGATCCTCATTCGTATGAAAGAGTTTAATAATGTGTTTACAGTAACTCAGCGCTGCTGGTCGTCTGATTTGGTCATTTAAGTTCTCGTGGTTCCTTCTGCTCAGGATGTTGGAAGAGCTGGATCTGGGCTGGTGTCCCACCCTGCAGAGCAGCACCGGCTGTTTCCAGCAGCTCGCCCGCTGCCTGCCTCGACTGCGTAAGCTCATCCTCACCGCCAACCGCACCGTCTCTGACTCGGACATTGAGGAGCTGGCTTCCTGCTGCCCTTCGCTGCAGCATCTCGACATACTCGGTATGCTCTTGTCACGCGTGTTTCTGTTTCTGGATGAGGGCCACGGTCACGTTACTTATCTTTATTTTCTGTCTGTAAAATATGCAGATTCTTGGTTTTAAACCTCCAGTACAGATAATTTAATTACCTAAAGAGATAAGGCTCCATCAAAGAGGAATGATTCAACATGCACAGCATTAGGCCCCCATTGTTTAATAGACTGTTTTGCTCTAAATGCCCAAACATAAATAGAAAAAGTCCTGCGGCCTCATTTATCAAGCTTGCTAACGCACGAAACGAGGTTGAAAAACTGCATAAGCAACTTTACACGCAAACTTTGGGATTTATGAAAGAAAACTTAGCGGAAAAATGTGCGCAACTTTAAGTTGACTAAGGACCTGGCTTAGGCACATGTTGGACATGAAGAGCACCTGCAGTGCTGCTGCTGAGAAGGATAAAAGTATGAAATCCTGCAGCATTATCACTTGTACCGCTTCGTTTTCACACAGAACAAGACCCCCCACACGCACACACTTGTGCGTGCACACACACATGCACGCACACTCACACACACGCGCGCGCGTGCACACACACACACAGCCTGAAGCGCAGAATACGGAATGCAGAATATCAGCAGGGGACAGATTGAGACAGAACATCATGCGTCTGTGGCAGTGTGTGTGTCCTGTCACTGTGACCCGATTGATCAGGCGCCCTGGCTAGTTGAACAGGGGAGATCTCCGTTTGGCAGACTGGTTAGCACGTGTGACTTCCACCCGGGAGTCTGGGGATCGGATCCAGATGGGACCATTTTTTTTACATCCGCCACAGATCTCTCTGAAGAACTCAGCATTGACGGCTTCAGCAACGCTGTGACACTCCGTGGATTTTCTCTTATTTGTTTTGCAAAAGCACTTCCTTTCATTTCTCCACCTCACCCACAAGTACCTGAATTTCTGCTTCTATGAAATTGCGCTTCCTTGATCTGCGGTCGCCATCATCATTGGCGGAGCACTACAACAGCCGGCTTATGTATATGCATGAGATCCACAAGGCACTTTGCATTGACTGTTTATGGCAGTAAGTGGGTGTGGTGAGGGCAGATGTGACTAAAATACAGCTGAGAACCTTTCGAGATAGTTTCTGATTTATAAAGCAGAGATTGCGTGCAGCCGTGCGTACTCCATGTTTGATAGATCACAAACCTACTTGGCGTAAATACATTTTTTTTGCTGGGCTTAAGTACGGTTTTAGTAAGGATTCTACGCAATGTTTGATAAATGAGGCCCCAGAAGAATTAAGCAGCTGCTGAATAAATGATTTTATCATCAGACTAAAGGTTTTGACATCTTGCTTCAGTGATGCAAACTTTCATTTCTCTTTACTGTTTTGTAAACATACAATTCAGGCAAAGTGTCTTTCCTGTTGTCTTCTTAGCTTTGGTGTGGTTTTACTAACAAACAGGTACACGCTTGGTGAGTGCTGCCTCGCTCAAGAAGCTCCTCCAGTCGTGTCCTCGCCTCGTCCTCCTGGACGTCTCCTTCTGCTCACAGATAGACACTCGGGTCGTCCAAGAACTCTCCAGCCTCTTCCCCAAAGTGGCCATCAAGAAAAGCTTCACTCAGTGACCCCGCCACTGTCTCAGCTCTCGCTGCCGAGGAGCATCGAGCTGCAGGGACAGGCTCACCAGCAGGAGCTGGTCCGCTGCTGCAGATTGTCTCGTATCACAGACAGCTGAGTGAAGAAAGCCCCGGTACCTTTGAGGGGGGTTTGAGGTGGTCTTAGTGGCTGAGCAGAATCAGCTCAAGACTTATCAGTGGACAGCACAAGACACTCATCTGCCTAGTCTGTGGCCACACACCATCAGGGAGGCTGCAGGAAAGCTGCTGCACACTTTTTTGACGTTCAAACACCATTTTCAGATGCCAAACAACACGCGATGAGGACTTCTGCCTTTGTATGAAATACGGCTCACAAACAAACCAACATCTGTGGTGTTGGAGATCAAAGTGACAGCAGAGTGTTGGACGAGTCTTTCATAAAGGTTAGGTGTCCTGCCAGTGCCTTCTCTGAGCTACACCACCCCATAGTTTACCACAATTTTATTTGGAATGCTTTACTAAAGTCACGTCAACTAAAAACCTTTCACGGTCACAAAGCAGCACCTTTTGCCACAAGTTCTCCCTGAACGTTCAAGCATAGAACACTTTATGTTCTGCATTATTAAGCATTGATAAAATGAACTTGAGATAACATTTTTATTTATTAAAATGAGACGATTTGCACTTTACCCACACGTTGACACGGTTTCTTGAGAACAGTGAGCCTCTTGATGAAAGACGCTACAGAATTCCTCACACACATTTCCTTATGTGTGTTTTATTCTCTCCGCTCAGTCAGCCCTGACCCTGTTTAGTCCGATATGTTCACATTTTTCTTTGTAATATTCAGAGGTCTTCTGGGCCTAAGACATCAGAAGGAATGTTGAGGGTTCGCCTGTGGAGCTACAGGCTGCAGACCCAAACATGGATGGCAGAATAGAAATGCAGCTTTAAATGTGGTTAAAAGAAAGATCATGATCGTCAATCCAACAAGGATTACCAATATTTAGTAGTCCTAAAATGATACTCCACTAAACTTTAGTTAAAAACCTGTGTTTATTTTGACGTCGGGGTTATTATTTAAGGCTAGGGTTGGGTAAAACCGCCCGAGTCCTGCTGTGGCATTGTCGGACACGAGGATTAATTACAATGAGAGTCTGTAAATACATCAGAAATCATTCTCAGGGTTATTTAGTGCGTATCTTTTGTTTTGATCCATGACTGAAAGCAACAGTTGGCTGTTTGTTCTGAAAACCACACACCTTCGGCTCTAATGTAAGTAAACGGAGCTTAGACGTCACACGCTGCCGTGTGCTTGTGAAGATAAAGCTGTCTCTGATCATTTATCTCTGTGATTTGAGCTCCGGTTTCCCCGTGATCGGGAAGCTCTTTGTTTCTGTGAGAAAACTTGAACTTTTCTTTAGATCACACACTACGAGTAGATATTTGTGCCTTATTATTCCTGCTATTAGAGCGTGCTGTGACGTCCCGGGTGGTACAGACGTGCTTTTGCTTTTAGGGTTCTCTACCAAAGGTTTCCACAGTCGCCTGGTCACCAGGTTCAGGCTGGATTTAACCTGTTTGTATATCAGCCTTGGGAAGTATTATGTGAAATGATATTATTTATTCTCCCCTGTGTGGAATGACTGGAGGCAGAAACCTGTTAGATACAAGCTTTTTAAAAATCTTTGCATCATTCTATTTGCTTCAGTCTGCTTGATTTAAACATTTTACTCAACAAAACGTGTACTTTGTGAAGTACTCCAAAGTACTTTTAAGTACCTTGTTCTGGGGCTGGCTGAACAGGTCTCCAACCAGTCCTCACCACCCTGAACCCAAACATCCAGATTTATTGTGTCTGATGGACGCTTCAATAATATTTATTCCCTTTAGAATGTTTGTTTTTGTTGTTTTTAATTGTTTCTGACCGAAGTTTTGTTTTATTCCTAGTTTCAGTCCTTGGAAGCAGAAGAACACGTCATTTTTATTTTGCCCACACAAAACTAGACTGATGTGATTATTTCTGTAACGCGGTGAGGCTGTTGACTGGACACGGCTCATGAATAACAGCTTTTATTTGTTCAGACCGGAGCTCTGCAGCCTTCTAGAGCCTCATAACTCACCTAAAACAATAGCTCAATCTGTGTTATGAAAACAATAAATATATTCTTGTTCACATTAAGTTAGGAAACTGGGACAAGTTGTTAAGGATTTTTGTGTTTTTACTGTTGGACACAGGAAAAGACAAAATTATACAAACGGGAGTAAAATAAACATATTTATACTCCCTTTGATCAAATGTAATCCATGTGAGTCTTCTCCATGTCAGACATTCAAAATGATCCCAAATGAAGTGGATAAAGCTTATACTGGGAACAAAGTTCAGTTATTGAATCTATTCTAAGAAAAACAAAATTCAATTCAGTTCAAAAATGCTTTATTAATCCCAGAGGGAAATTGATTAAAGCAACCAAACAAACCTTGGGTCTAAATTTTTGGCTGAATAACTTTGGAGAATGTCTTATTTCAGGGTCTAAATTCATTTGTCATGAAACAACTTTGTTTTCCATCAGCATTTTGCAAACATTTCCTTTTATGTTGGATTAAAAAAGCATCCCATAAACTCAGTTTGGATTCTTGTGTCATGAGTATTTCGCTGAAACATCTGTTTAAAATTGCACCAGAAACCTAAAAACACACATAAATCATCACCTCTGCTTCTTCTGGTTCGGCCTATGACGGGCCACTGCAGAGGCACTAACGCATGACTTGAGGCCCCAGAACCACACATTTCAGACCCCTCCTGCAGGTCTGGCTGCTTCATTTCCAGATTTTAAATAAACTCAAGGCTGTTGATGCAACGTGGCTTCTTTAATCCTCAAAATCACACCTTGATCACAGATATTAGAGCTAATCTGACTGGAGAACAAAGTGGCTGCAAAGGCATTAACTTCCACAGATTAAATTTCCCTTCAGTTTATGTGAGGAGAAGCTCACCATCACAGACACAACAAATGTAAATTGTGTCTCATGCCGGAGTTCCAGAAGTAGAAGAAAGAAGACGGCAGCTAATAAATTTACAGCAAGCAGCCGTTAGTCAGGATGAGTGGCCGGATAGTCGTTGCAGAATGCTCCTTTTTGCCGTAACCCTCTGCCATTTTACACTCTATTAATACCACAGGGAGAATGACATTAGCTTGTCTTCTTAACGGCCTTTTAATGAATTGTTTATGCCTGGTTTAATGATGTATATTGTGGCCCTGTAATGTGCCCTAATGACGGAGAACGAGGCGGCCTGGGCTGAAGTATTAATTTGGCCTGCCTCCCCAATGATTATTCCTCACACACTAGCACCACCACTGCTTCTATTGGCGTGCACCGACGTGATTCATGAAGGCTTTCTGCTCGACTCCACACTTTGATTTCTTGCTGTCGTGCTCCTCTATGAGGCTGATATAGTATCCAGGGGATCCACTGCAATTAGTTCAGCTTTTTTTGTTTTTCTTTCAAGAGGCTTGATGAATCTGCAGGGGGAATAATAAGGATGTAAATGTTGTTCCTGATTTGTGATTAGTCCAGCATTAACATATAAATCACAGAAAGGTTAAGAGGTGCTACAAGGCTGCCCGGTGCCGCATGGACTACTGTTTTCTGCACCCCACTTGACTGACACAACAGCATATCCTGGCAGCATCTGCAGGAGAAGTGGTCTTTACAGTGAAACCTGTCTGCCAGATTCCTTGACGGGAGTCCTCTCTCTGATATGTGGCTTGGTGTTCCAAAGATAAAGACACGGCAGACTATTGGTCTAAAGCGTATTATTTTGACGTGTTTTTAGGATTTGGAACATGTCATTGCTCACTTTTTAAACCCATTTAAATATGAAAATCCAAAGGGAGTGTTTCTTTCCTTTGGTTTAAATCACGAAGATAACTTTCCGTCCGCTCAAGCTGCTGTCCCGATCCTGTGATACTCCTGTGTAATTACTGTACACGGGCAACACTGGCGAGGATGCTCAGATATCTGATCTGCTGCGCGGTATAACGATAAACAGTATTCTCAAGAGGAAGACTATTTGGCTCATAAAACCCTCTACAGCATGTCTCCTAATTTCACTAAGAGGAATGAGTTTTTATTTGTCAAAGATTGTTCTGTTTTAGTGGCTTTCCCCTTTTTCTTCATTTGCTGCAGGCCAATCTACAGTCCCCTTTGTCCCAGGTTACTGGTGGTGTCCCACAGGGTTCTGAGCTTGGCCCATCTTTGTTTTCTCTGTACGTGCTTCCTTTTAATAAATTAATTAGAAATTGCAACATGAATTTCTTTGTTGCGGATGACAACCAATTCGATTCCAGGAGAGACTCATAATTTGATCCCACAGTTAATTTGGATTACTTTACTTTTGCATTGAGTACTTCTGTCTTGTTCACACCGAGTCCTGAACGTATGCGGTCCAGTTTCTGGATGGACGGCTGTTAACACCGGCTGTGGATTGTGTGCGAAACCACCAGAAATTCCCACGCTAGTTCAGGTGATAACAACTTGATAGATAGAGGGGAGCTGGTGAACAAAAGCCATACACACCTTCTCAAATTATCATACACTGTTAAATTAATCTCTGGCATTAATAATAAACAAAAGATGGGAAAAAAGTGTGAGAAGTATTAATTTGAAATACACCAGATGCACGTTGCTGAAACAAGTCTCACTTCTTCTCTGGCTCATATAATTTCTTTATTTTCATGACAATCTACATGCGCTGTCTGGAAAAAATATACTCCATACGGAATTTTCCGAATCAGCACTTCACCGCAGCCGGCACAAATGCCCTGATTGGACTCAGTGATTTTTGCCAAAGCCGTATGGAGTCTAAACTTTTTTCGACCCGATCCTTCCATTCACGCCAATCTTATTGACATGTCTGATTAGTGGCTCTGAAGATAATCTTATCAGATAATCCTAATGTGTGTGATGTGTTAAGAGTACTCTGGCCTGCTTGGAAGGATATTGGAACCACTTGGATCATAAATCAAGGCTTTCAAACTTGTTTCAATTCCATTGACACACATTCTTACTGTTAAATGAGCCAATCAGAAAGCGAGGTGACAGAATTCCAAAGCTTGCTCCTCTTCCGCCATGTTTGTTTACTCTGAAGTCACACTTGATCTCATGAAATTACCAGTCTGAACAGGAAATGTTCACTTGTGAAATAATTTCATGTAGTTTAGTTTTTTTCTATGTTACTGGAGACCAAACACTGTAGGACAAAAACTAGATCCATGATTTCGTATCACCATGTGTGTGGTCTCCTATGTTTGGAAAATCATCAGACAATTAAAAAATCCTGCCTTCTGAGTAAAAATGTGGACCATGTTGTGATGCAGAATTACTGGTGCATTAGAAAATATTAGATTGTTGCACTTTTTTTCCCTTTAAGCTTTGTGTCCAAGAAATTCTGGTAAAACTCTGCAGTTGAGCCACAGTTTCTTGGTTTTATTTCATTGTTTTGAATCTTTTAGCTTTAAATTTGATTGTGATTATTATACATGTGTCTTTTCCTGCTATTCCTAAAGTGGTTTTATTAATAAAGTAATTCCTAATCTGGATCTTAAAAACCTCTGTTCTTGTAGTGACAAATATTTTTGTTGTTTTGCTTTCAAGCTGTGCAGAATTTGAGTTTAATGTGTTTTATAATAACATGGAGGAACGAATCTTGTGACATATCAGCCGTAGAACACTATTTTATTTGCTTTGTACCAAGAAATAATCCAGCAAGGGTTTCCTCTACCTGTGACCCGATAACAGAAAGGGTCTGACCAAATATTTGAAAATGAAAAATTATGTTTTTCCACGTGTACAAGACATTTTGTCTGACCTATTACTGAAAGAAGATGGGAACTATGTCAAATTAGCTGTCGGGTTAGCTTTCAAAAGTTTTGTTTTTTTACATCATCTCATTTATTTCATGAAATAACTCAGGTTAAAATTAAATTCCTCGTCATTTCTGTCTTAATGCTAAAAGTTTCATGTTAATTTAGGGTTCACTTAAGCAGCGTTCATAAAGATTTGATATGAGTCACGGATACAGAGGCGAATGCTGGGGGGCTCGGGGGGAGGGCAGTGTTACAGATGAGAATAAACCTTTATCAGGGTGAATCTTTCTGTTTTATTTTTTCAACTGTGGTGTTGTAAACCTCTCTCTCTCTCACACACACACACACTCAGAGCCCCCCCACAGACAGTGTTTGTGAGGGACAGCATCGTCGAGAGACGAGCCCGTTTCACAAACAGGTCGAGCAATTATAGTCCGAATAATTGCGTGCTGAAGGGGAGACACGATTCGCCCCGCTGCTCAGCAAAGTTCATGTGAAGTTATAATTAAACAATAACTCGTTTACAAGTGAACGCACACGAGCGTTTGTGTACTTAAGTGTGCAAAGTGTAATTAGCAGGGATGCATCTGAGTGAGAACGAACAGCAGCAATGTCAAACGGTGGAATGATGGTGTGTGTGTGTGTGTGTGTGTGTGTGTGTGTGTGTGTGTGTGTGTGTGTGTGTGAGTGTGTGTGTGTGTGAGTGTGTGTGTGTGTGTGTGTGTGTGTGTGTGTGTGTGTGTGTGTGTGTGTGTGTGTGTGTGTGTGTGTGTGTGTGTGTGTGAGGCAGACATACAAATTGAAGGAGTGGTTGCTACAGAAGCATGATTCTATCAGTGCCTGCTCTAGAGATGTACCTGCTGTTTATCATCAGAGTAATTAACGTTCTTCACTAAAAAGTCTGTTTTCACCATTAATTACACGGCAGGAAGTCACGTTAAAGGATTCCCGTTGTACATAACGCCCTCCAATTACAATTCAACAACACACCAACTATTTCTAAAGGGTTCATGTGAATTTGAACGGGTATCTTTGTCAAGGAAAAGTTTTTAGTTCAAGCTAAACTAAACTAAACTTTGGGTCATCTTGATTTTCTTGTTGTGGACACTTTGATGGTGAAAACATCCTGAAAGCAGGCGATTTGTAATTGTTCTGATGAAACCAACGGTAGGACCCAAGCCTGATGGTTTCTAATTTCAGAATGTAAATTCAAGATGTTATTTTACTAATAATCATGGATGGTTTTATTACAGAGAGGAGTTTAATTGACTGTCACACTGTCTGTCAGCAAAGAGTCAAGATGGAACAAACAAAGAGGTCTATACCTGCTCCAAAGTTCACCTACAAAGCTCCTGATTTTAGTTGAGTCTGCTTTACTTGCGCTGTGTCTTTACTTGATTTTATTCCTGTTTTGTTGTTTCAGTAGTTGTGTATTTCATTTATTGTCTTTTGTAAAACACTTTGTTTCTGTTATCGTTTTAAAAGGTTTAATTTAGATAAAACATTAGATTAGATGTAAGGTGAAGTTCAGCCTGACAAACACATTCTTATTATTTTATAATGAACGTGGCTTTCAGATATATTTTTCTGATTGTTGGATTTCCTTTTAAATAAAATACACACTTTATTTTAATTAAAACTGAATAAAAGGATGAAGAGACCTTTCAGTTTTTGTGGAAAATCACTAAATTGGTTTTAAAGTGTGAATCAACTTTTTTCCCCGCTAAACTTTCCTTTGATTATAATCCGACAGATTTAGTTTATGTTTCTACTGAATGTTTCCACAGCCAGTTTTCCTGGAACTACAGCTCTGACGCCTTACGTCACACATCCTGCTGTTTGAAATTCCTGAGCAGATGTTTTCTGACCCCTCCCTGGCTGGTAAAGACTCGCCCTCCGTGGAGCTGGTGTCGCTAGATGGCGCTTCAGCACCAAGAATCCTCCGCCAGCCCCACAGCTCAGCCCTGGCTTCTGATTTTTTTCTTCCTCTCTTCACTGGGAGCCTAATGGGAAATGTGAAGTCACCTAAATAAAAAGGAAGGTGTAATTAACGCAACGCGCTATTAATTGCATCTGCTGCAGCGTGGATAAAGGGAACTGTTTTTATTTATTACCAGACCTCTCAAAGGTCTACTTCAGAGATCACAGAGAGGGAGATGGGGAGCTTTATGTCCGCGTGTGGTTTCATGTCAGCCGTCCAAAAAGTGATGATGATGATGATGATGATGATGATGCTGAGGGGCAGACAATCCTTTGGTTCAAAACAAGGTCAATAAAACTATTGTTACTATTAATGTGCAGTGTTGACTACATGTTGTTATTATTATTAATACTATTATTAACAATGTATTTCTACTAACTACATTGTTTGAGTGTAATTGTGTCAGAACAAGAATACAGACGTTCTGAAGTCCTGTTCTGTTTCCCTTTAGCTTCACTGGTCAGAGTCATTAATGGCTGATCAGAGATGAGTTCCCATCATTCAGACTCATAACGCTCAGGGCTTAAGGTCACATTTTCACAGGCTCACTATACATCACATTTCAGAAGAGCAACGAGGGGAATTTAAATTACAGTCAGAATAAAACACTGCAGAATGCTGCTTTTCTCATACAGCCACTTAGCAGAAACAAGGCTGCCGACTCCGGTTAAATAAAATAAATTCCCATTTTCACAGATTTGTTTACAGGGGCATCACACTGCAGCTTCCTGTCGGAATAGTTCAGAGGGAAGATGCACCAAAGGAAAAGGGAAGAAACCATCAAGGTCACCATAACACCACCATCCCCAGTATGTTCTCCCATTTTACATCAGTTAATCCAAACTTTCTCGATGTAATAACTTAATTGGGATTTAAAATGTATTATTAAAAGAATGCGTTTTCCCTTCACACCAAGTTAGCTCTGATACACTCACGCCAAAAAAAAATAATAATAAAAATAAAAAGTAAAAGCACATCAGAGCAGCAGGAATCAGATGGTGGAAGCAAATAAAATGCGGATTCTAAACAGGATCCAAGCACATTTAAATAACAATATTGGGGACTTCTTTTAACATCCGAGGGGCATTTTTGGTCCCCGGACCAGATTTTGGAGACCCAATTTCACCAGATGCGGCCAGAGCGAGTCCATTTAAAAGCAGCCTGGGGCCGAAACAACACATCATCAGCTCACAATCTCCCCTTCATTCACTCTAATTTTCTCGCAGCCATTAACTCCACTCAGACCAATGAGCTCAGAGCAAGAAGCGTTTTTCTGAAGCCCGCAGCTGTCGGGCTGATCAAGGGCCGCTGCACAAAAAACCAGATCGGCTCAAATATATTAAAATGAAAATAAATGCATTTAGGCTTGGCGTTGGAAAAAAGCTTTTTAATATCAACCCCATTATTTAAAAATGTGCAAGTCCACGTGTCAGGAGATGAAACACCGAACACCAGCAGGCGTTTATCACCTGTGCCCCCCCCCCCCCCCCCCCCCCCCCATCCATCCAGTGAATGTGACATAGAGCCTACATGTCCTCACACCCAGCAGATTAAACAAGTCAGAGAAACACAGAAATGAAAATGAACAGCGTTGGATTGCTACAGGTCCACACCCCACAGCTCCAGTAAATATGAGCGTTTCATTAAAGCTACCGAGGAAAACTCACAAGGCCGCCTTTGCTTTTTGTTTTTAGCAGGAGACACAAACCAGAGGGAGTGCGTGAGAAAGATGAGCACGTTCCTGGATAAATATGCGTTTGCATTAAAACTAACAAGATAAAATAAGACTGTGGCAATGCCCGCTGCAATGTGAAAGGCGCCTCTCCTTCCCTGCAAAACGAAAGCCGTTTGTCTTTCATTTATATAGCTTTCTTTTTCTGTCATCTAGAAAATAAAATAAAACTAAACATCGCAGAATAAATTACAGTTCAATCATCTCCAAAATACCATAATAAACTCAAACGTGTGAGGATTTTATTTCTTTATAAAAAATCACATATTAAAAAAGGCAAAAATGAGCTCAATAATAATAATAATAATAATAATAATAATAATAATAATAATAATAATAATTTTTGATCCTATGCTGTCATATTTGGAACATAATATTTTTAAGAAAAAAAAGCCGAGACTCATTACTTTTATTTCTGTAACAAAGGCGTAATTAACGTCTCTATCTGTATCTTGAAATTCCAATAATTTCTACACTCTTATTTGCTTCGTTTTTCATCTCCTTACAAGGAATTAAGCGCTTTGTTTTTATTGGGGAAGTGGGATTTTAGATCACACATTAGATGAATGAACAAAACTCCATAAAAATTTAGACAAATTAAAAAGAAAACCAATACAAAAATACACGCACTGTTTCTGAAGCGCGACTGAAGCTCATGTCGGTGACCAAATGAACATGATCAGACATCAGGCAGTGGGCTATGGGTGGAGGCTGGGTTCTTCGCCATCTGCTTGTTTCTTTAAGATAAACTAAACATTAAAAAGTGCCCAGTGGAAAAGAGAAAAATATAATAAAAATTAGAGATGAAGTCATGACTTAAAAATAACTTTTACAATATTTACAGAAGCGAATAAAGGTCAGGTGAGATTTGCTGCCATCTTATTTTAGCTGAGACATCTAGCCCGTCTTGTTGTGGGAAAGTGCCAATCAGTCACCGTGGAGCCCTTCCTGGAGCAGGGAGGGAAGATATTAGTCACCACTTGTTGGGCGGAAAATAAAGAACTTTATTTGTTGTTGTTGTTGTTGTTGTTGTTGTTGTTGTTGTTGTTTACACGCTGTTGCCCGCTGACTGTGGAGGTCAAACAATTTACCACATCGCTGCTGTCCGGATTTTGCCAATGAGCTGCACTAATAATAATAATAATAATAATAATAATAATAATAATAATAATAATAATAATAATAATAATAATAATAATAATAATAATAAATGACGCGGCTCGGTTGTGCCAGGCTGACTCGGGCGATGCTGGAGCCTTTACCGGCCTCCATCAGTCCGTTAAGGCAGCTCCTTTGACCCGCAGCAGCACCACCCGCCTACCCTCGTCACGCACAGAACCAAACAGGCCGTCGCCTCCCCACATTTTACGCAGCAGCAAAAGCGTCGGATTTAATAGAAGAGTGGAAACTATCTTGCTATTACCGTTTCTCTAAAATCCCTTCTTTCTGTTTGATCCGTTTTCCTGCTCGTTCCTTTAACCAGGTCGCGTCTGAGCAGGGGCTACACCTGGAAACCGCGCCGACTGGAGTCACAGTGCTGCGGGCATGTATCCTCGAAAAGCACAGACAGGCTTCAGTTGTGGGAGAGCTGAGAAAAAGCGTCCTCTCCTCTCCTCCCCCTCCCCCTCACCCATTTCCCATTTGTCAGATATTCGCTGCAGATATTGTGTAAATACTCACTGCAATATTATACATAAAACACCCTCTAGATGGTTTCATAGTCCAGTGATTTATATATAACCTCGGGGATAAATAAAAAGGATAAACAAGTCCAAGAGGAGCGGTCCTGTGGAGTTCATTGGACCGGGGTTTGGACCCCGTGGTGCGGCGGCGTGTCCCCGTACACATCCTCGCTCCCAGGCAGCGCTCCTCCGGGAGGCGTCATACGTTTCTCCTTCTGTCTCCTGTTACAAAACCAAACCCTCACCACTTCTTTCTCCAGGTGTAGACTGTCCGCCAGGGTGATTATTTCCGACGCGGCCGGTTTTGGGCACTTCAAAAAATGGCTCTCCAGAGCCCCCTTGACGCTCACCTCGATCGAAGTCCGTTTTTTTCTTTTCCTGCCCTGCGCCGCGATTTTGTCCAGACTGGTGGGGCTGCCTGAGGTGGAGTCCGCCTCCTCCAGCCACTTGTTCAACAGAGGCTTCAGCTTGCACATGTTTTTGAAGCTGAGTTGCAGGGCCTCAAACCTGCATATGGTGGTTTGGGAAAACACATTTCCGTACAGGGTCCCCAGGGCGAGTCCCACGTCCGCCTGCGTGAATCCCAACTTGATCCTTCGCTGCTTGAACTGCTTGGCAAACTGCTCCAGGTCGTCCGAAGTCGGCGTGTCCTCGTCCGAGTGGTCGTGGTGACTCTGCGGCCGGTGCTGGTGCTGATGCTGGGACGGGGGGTGTCCGTGCTCGCTGAGGTGCGGGCTGTGGTGGTCTTCATGGCTGTCTCGAAGGCTGTGGTGGTGCATGCCTTGCCCGCTGCCCGGGATCAGCCCGTTCACACCGAAACCCGGCTGGGAGTAAATAAGGCTTTGTCCGTTTGTGGTTGCCATGCTCGGTATGTGCGCCGCGGTGGTGGTTCTCCACGCCCGGCCGTCGTGGTGGTTCCCGTGCGTCTGGTGCACCAGGTGGGGCGGCCGCGACTGGTGCTGCAGGTTGTTGCTGGAATTGTGCATCTCCTCCCGGGCGCCTTGCACCGCTGGTTTGATATCCTGCTCCGTTCCGAGCGGGCTGGTGGACCACGGGGTTCCCTCTCCGTGGGACAGCGCCGTGATCCACTGGTGTGCGTGGCTGAGCGTGTGGCTGTTGCTCTGCAGCGGGTAGTCGCTCTGCAACAGGCTCTGCGCGTCCCGGTATGCCGTGGATTGCTGCATGCCGCCGGGCTCCGAGTGCGCGATGGATGCGCTGGAGGTGAGGATGCTGTAGTGGTTAGACGCTGCGGTCGCCATGACTCTCGGAGCCGGACTGGTCGCTCTTATTAAAAGAACCTCGCATTTGACAGATCCTCTCCTGCCCATAGGCGGCTCCCAGGCGCTCTGCCAAGTGGACGCCGAGGCGCACCTGGACTCAGCACCGCCCCAGTCGCTCATTGGGCGCCAGGAAATGATGGACGTGGCTACCAAGGGCAACAGCGCGATGATTGGCTTGTTGGGAGTCTCAACAAACACTACTCTCTTTGCTGGAGAGGTGCGAGCTGAGGCTTCTGTGGAAGCGGAGAGCCGGAGCGCAGCATGGGGAGAAGGAGGACCGGGATCAGCGGGGAGGATCCAGGTGATTCACCTCATCCAGACTCAGACTGTAGGTCCAGATCCAGACTCAAGTTTATTTACACTTACTTGAAAAGGTTGTTTTGAGCCGCTAAACAATAATTAATTTTGATGCTGTAAAACTCTTTTTCTCAGAGTAGAAATAACTCTTAAAGATGATGTTGTTTTCATTATGGTACAATGTGACAGGTGACAGAAAATCCCATTCATATGTATGTATGTATATCTATCTATCTATCTATCTATCTATCTATCTATCTATCTATCTATCTATCTATCTATCTATATATATATATATATATATATATATATATATATATATATATATATATATGTTTAACATGCAAGCTAATATGATGCATGTCAGCATGGAATTATTGCAACGAGATTATCATTTTTAACTGATATAAAATTATAACACATAGATTAATTCTAATGAATGAAATCAGTAATTATCTAAAACATTGTTATGGCTGTTTTACGTGGTTAAAATGAGTGGACATGACAACTGTTTTTATAAATAATCATAACATTTTTAGCATCAATGGAAACAAAATACAAATAATAGCGTTGAATTTAATTAACACAATTTCTTTGTAAATAACCTGCAACTGTGGTTATCTGGTATTAGTTGTAGAGTATTTTATAGAATTTTAAATGAGGATTCTTAAAATTCACTGCCTATTATAATGCCATTTCTCCATACATCTGTGTTTGTTCTCCAGTGGAGAATTGGTATTCAACTGGGCTAACTTTAAAACTTTTGCTTTTGAGCTTGAATAAAGTAAAAGGAAACATGAGGAAAGTCTGGTTTATAACAGCAGTTTAACAGGATGTTTTAATTAAATTATAAGGAAAAGTTAGAGAGTGACTTAAAGGTATTTCTGCAGGATCAGGTTTCCAAGTGGAACCATTGGAACTGCGATACTTTTCACCCCAGAAAAGATTTAGAAATAATTTTCAAGGAAACCATATTAGAGTTAATGGTCTGTCGGAGGCTCAGCTCATCGTCTGCTAAAGCGAAAACAGACAGAACAGAAGGATTAAGTCCAAACGTATAGGCCTCCAGTCCAGGGCACGAAGGGCAAGTCTCCATCCCGTCCCAGCTGTCGTTCCTCAGTGTCAGCTTCAGGGACCAGGACTTTGTCCAGAGAGGGGACATTCCTGGCTCACTGCTGCTGGTTGCCATAGGGAGAGGTAAATGAAACAACAGCAGCCGCGTCACTGCTGCTGCCCCCCCATCCAGGACTGTCTAAAGGCCTCTATTTAGAGAGGCTCTTTGCTGCAGGGACAAAAGCTTTGCACGGATAAAGGAGGGAGGAGTGAAGAACCCAGGGCCCTAAAAGGAAGAAAAGACTGGAAGAAGTGGAAAAGATGAGATTGTGTCCATCCTCAAAGCTTCAGTGAGATAAATCAAACCAATAAAACGTCAAAAATATGTTTTACTGGCAGAAAATTCTAACTTTTGGTAATTTTTAGGAAAATCTGAACCTGTTAATAGTTTCTACATGTGATTAAAAAGTAAAACGTTGGTCTCACTCCAAATCTAAAATATGACCCAGCAGCAACAAATTAATCCTATAAATCAGCACCTACAGATCTCCAATATTCACAATTTCCAACTTTCCTACTATGCAAATGACTAAAACTGTAATTAAACTTTTATTTAATAACTTGGACCTATACAGGAAGATTAAAAGGTAATAAAAAAGCAATCATCCACAAAAAAAAAATCCAAACTGTTCAGTGAAAACATGGGAAGCCTGAGCTCACAAATCATCCTGCGCTACGTTCATTTATTCTAAAAGTTCACACGGGGACACGTCGAGAGTGTGGATGGAGGCCTGAGAACAAATCAGAGGCACGTGACAAAAGGTAGGCGCTAATTACAAACCGTCTCTTCTCTGTGACCTGGACGGGATCTTAATACTCATCTAAGGTGAAACACAACTTCTCCTTTCACGTGTGATCACGCTGCTGCTGTGATCTGAATCAAAACAATCTAAGGATGTGCATTAGTTCTTACTGTAATATTGTAGATTTAAATTAAGACTGAATACCAAAGCTGTTATTGTTAATCGTGATCACTGAAGTAAATCTTTTATTGCACGCATTAACTGTGAGAAATACTGCTTTCTAACGCTCTGTTTATCAATAATGGCTGCACACGATAGTATAAAGTGGATAATGAGGATCAAGAGAGGAACAGGCAAAATGTTCACATTCTAAGTACAGGCCGATCTCTTTAATGAGAGATTTGTGATTGGGTCTTTAATGGATCTGGTTTCATAGGCTAATAATCCTTTATGGATGTGGCTCCAGCTGCACCGACAGCTCGTGGAGCCACCAGGATTTAAGTTATGCCATCAAAAGTTTCCAGGCACGGCTCCGTCATTCATTCTGGTAATATTCAACATTATTGTGGTGTAACATTGAAATCGGCCAAATCAAGAGAACATTGTGGTAATTAGGCTGTAATTCAAGGAATTACCACATCGCCACACAGGCTTAAATAGTCGTGTTGGGAGAAACGCAAAGCACATTATTTTAATGGCGTAATATGCAAACTATGGCTCATTTCAATTACATGGCTTAACAATGCATAAATGATGCGAGCCTTGTTATTTGGACTGCAGGGTCCACAGTTATTCAGTCACTCGTGAGGGCCAATGAGAGGGGCCATGCAGCCTGCTCTCACAGCCCAGCGCTGGGGCAGGGCTGCTGCCAAACTACGTTTAAGGGAGGAAAATGAACAGTGAAGAATGTGAGCGTTAAATTAACAGTAGGATAATTATATGACCCGTGTGCTGTAAAGATTCAATTTCTAACGCTCCAATTAGGCGACTGTCTCCCCATACATCAGCTCACATCCGTCTGACAATTTCTCACCAGAAACGTCCTGCGACCGGAAATAATTAGATTTTATTAAGACACGGCTCGAGTAATACAAGGAAATCAAAGGAGGGGGCTGGTTAAATATGATATGTTTTCAAAATCACTGAGTGGTTCACAGTCCGCCCAGTGATTCCACAATGAAGACAGTCTGGGCCCCAGATCTGCAGGAAGGATGTAAAACCATGTAGTCATCTGTCTAGTTTAGGGGAAGGTGTAGAAAGTTGTCATCTCGGACTCGAGCCGTAATCTGTAATCTTTAAATGAAGGACATTTAGAAATGAATGAACCTGCTCTATGTAGAGATGTATGAGGCTAATTGGGACACAAATCTGCAGCTTTTTGAAAGGTGGTGAGAAGACTTCATCTGGAAAAGGAATTATCTGAGAATGAGAGGACATCTTGTAGGTTACCTTTAAGAATGAAGCATTTAGAAATGTTTAAGGAGTGAGAAGTCTTGACGTCTGAGGAAGGGTTGTTTTAAACCACAGGATTTAAAACATGTTGTAACATCTGGAGAGTGTGTGTACAGCCCAGAGCCACAGACAGCTCAAACACATCTCTAAGGAAATAAATAAAAAACAATTGGGAAGATGAAACCCATCCATCCATCCATCCATCCATCCATCCATCCATCCATCGTCTGAACCCGCTTCGTCCACGTAGGGTCGCGTGGGGGCTGGTGCCTATCTCCAGCGGTCAATGGGCAATCAGGCGGGGTACACCCTGGACAGAGAGCCAGTCCATCGCAGGGAAGATGAAACCATTCCGTATTTTTACTGTTTCTTCCATTTCAGTCCACACCAAGGAAAAGAACATTTCTTAGCAAATTTCTTGTCATTTGGATAATAAGCTATAATGTGATGTAAGGTAATATTAATGTAATATGACATTAATAAGAAGGTAACAACATAACTTGTTATATTAATGTCCCTGTCTTTTAGGATCACATAACTTGTTATTTTAATGTCCCTGTGTTTTAGGATCATTTTAGTTAATTAGCTTTTTTAGTTACATTCAACATCCTTCAATAAGATCATTTTACCAGCAGCTGAAGGGGTTCAGATGATCCAAAACAAGCATGACTGTTTTAACAGTCACAGATTTATAATAAACACCTGAACTGTCTCTGAAGAGAAATAATAGAACAACACAGACATTCACAAAGTTTCTGCCAAATAAGAAACACAACTTTATTTTGACGTCATTTACTAGAAAGAACAATTAAAACAAACATTTCAGAAGAAACTGTGCATTCACGTGTTTTCTGAACTGTTTCAGTGTGAGCTAGTCAAAAACAGGACACGCCATTTCTCTTCATGAAAGTTTTATTTCAGCTGAACTGTTCAGATATCAGTGATTTTCTCTCTGGCCCGGTTCCTGTCTTACATAATGAGAGGCGGCCGGCCCACGTCTTTCATCCCTACTGTAATTGTTGTGTGCATCAAAGATGGAGAGATTGACAGGCTGCATGGGAGGATTAATACAGCGGGCGAGTGACGACATACTGAGCCTGTTTGGTCAGGAGGCAGAGAGGGGGGAGAGAGAGACAGAGAGGGGTTGGAGGAAGAACATGAGATGGAGAGGAGACTGAGATGGGGGGGCAGGAGGAGGAGAATGAGAGAAAAGTAGGAGAGGACAAAAAGTAGGGAGAGAGTTAACGAGAGGGAGAGCATTAATTGTGTGCTTTGTGCCGGGGCTCTTTTGCTGAGTGTGGCTGTCGAGGTGCGGGCGCTAACCCCTCCAGCAGCCCGCCGCGATCTGAACCAGCTCTCAGGCTGCTGTATTCCAATGCAATTAGGCCACTCAAAGGCCTGCTTAAAGCTGCACCCCCACTACACACACACACACACACACACACACACACACACACACACACGCATGCACGCACGCACGCACGCACACACACACGCGCGCACACACACACACACACACACACACACACACACACACACACACACACACACACACACACACACACACACACACACATACACACACACACACTCAGAAATAGCGACAGCC